CCTTGCATGTCTATGATCACTTCCATTTTTTTCACTTAAGTTGGATGTTGCGTTAATGAAAATCGTTTTGCGACTGACTCCTCCCGCAAGGATTACTCGCTTTATAGGCGGGAAAAGGGATGAGTCATGATTATTACGCATCGAAACGAGTAATTTACGTCATTCATAGAAGTTCTAGAACATTCGGGAGGGATTATAAAAGCCAGTGGGGATTGAAAAATCATCAGTTTCCATCATGGATTGTTTGAGTCCAGACGAAGTGAAATTTTTGTGCTCCCTTCCACCATTTTTGGTCAACTATGATGAAGTTGTTATTAGACATTATGGTGAAAATCCACCACAAAAAGCTTGGGATTGTTTACAAAGTTTCGTTGACTTGGAGGGAAATCTGGAACTCATGAAACAACGTCGATGTGCTTCGAAAAATGAACACGATTTGAGCGCCGATGAAGTTGAATTGTTATCTACTATCCCACCGTATGTTTGTCAATACGATGACATTGTTAACAAGTATTATGGTGATGATCCACCACAAACCGCATGGGACTTCCTCCAAGATTTCCTCGATTTGCAAGGGAACTTCAAAATTGTTCAACGTCGTAGGCAGTTGGGAATAGGAGAAAGGACCGAAATCAATTACTCGAGCCACGAGGAACCAGTGCCCAGTACTTCATCGAGTATCGATGATACTGTCGAGGATCAATCACATAATATGCGAGAGAAGAGGAAACCCAGACGACACCACCACCACCAGATGCATCAATCACACCGATGTGGAAAGTTCAAGAAACAAAGAAAAAGATTTTTTTCATGAATGATATTAACTAATCAAACACAGAAAATATTGTTTTTTGTCTTTATTGACAATTCTTATATGATATAATAAACAAGTTCATGTGAATAATAATAATAATTTCATGTTTCTAAATTAATTTTTTCACTCCTCCACTAATTGGGTTGTATTCAATTATACGATCATGTAAAATCAAACAGTAGGCTGCCGTTTGCGCAGGAAAATTCTGAGCTGATTCGAACTCGAGACGAATATCCACTGGTCCTGATTTAAGATATTCATTCTGTTTGGAACAATCAATAACAATAAGTGGGGCAAATGATAGAAAATCAGCTCTACTTAAAAGCGGCTCCGCCTCTTTACCATAGTAAGAATTTTGGAAACTAGTGTACATATCATAGAGTAATGCGTATTGATTATTCGGAATGTCAAGATTCAAATTACCGTAAGGGTAACTTTGTGAGTTAAGGAAAAGCTTAATGTCGCGAATATTACAATGATCGAAATGGCTAGCATTTTTATTAGCTTGATTTTTGCGATTAGTTTGAAATCCCACGACGATATAACGAGGTTTCTCCAGTTGTGTTGAACATTTCACCACCAAGACATGTTTAGAAGTAGCTGGTAAGAGTGGATACTCGTATAATTCCCAAGCTCGGAAACTGATTGGAATAGGTGCATCTTTGGAGATGTAATTCAGCAAATTCATTTTCCTGGAATCGGCTACTTTGATGTAGGGAATCAGCCACTCAATCCTATCAAGGGAGAGTTTGAATTGTTCAGCTGCGACTCCAGCCGCCGGTTGCTGAATAACTGCATTTACGTCAGTATTCCCTCTTGTGAGGATCAACTCATGTTTTGCGTTCACAATGATTCGTCTATAGTCCTCAGCGAACCCCAACACCACACTCAATGGGATAGAAATGTCGAAGTAGCCATTGTCATCAATGATTGTAGATTCGTCGTCTTTGAGAATCCAACCAGCATTTTCGATTAGGGCTGCTTGACTTGGACTTTCTGATATCAAATTCTTCATGAGAGTTGTGATTCCGACATTCTTACTTTTATCAATCTCAATAGCATTGAGCTCATAGTGTATTTCCTCAAACAAGTGAAGAATGGCACAGTTCACTAATCTCGTGTGAGTAACTGCTTGTCCATTAGGTTGAGTTAAACGTCCATGTACATGCAATGAACTTTTACTCGCCAACAAGCACAAATCTTGGTGCTGAACAGCGATACGAATTTCATCATTGTTGTTGAAAGTTGCTGACGCAAATGGCTGATGCGCATGGATTTCATAATGCGCAATAGACTCATCAAAAATTATGGGTTTTTGAATTTGCAGGATTTCCTCCATGGCTTATTGCAGTTGATGATGCAAAAACAGAAGAATGTACGAATTTTTTTCCTTACGGTCTTCTTCTTTTTCGAAGTTTGAGACCTAAACTCTTTAGGAATTTTATATTCTGCCGTGTTAACGCCTTGAGAGGTCTTCGACGACTGTTTCCGATTGCGAATGATGGCTCGCTTTTATAACTGCCTCCCGACTTGGTGTTGAAAACAATACCCATATTATGTTTTGATGTGTAGTCGTATTGTTATGACTTCTCCTCTAAAATTCACCAGTTGACCTTCTTGATCAACAATTTTCAGTTGGAGATGATCTATTGCTTGTACGGTGATTGGAAGGTAAATGATGTTCGATGGAACTTCAATGATCTTATATCCTGGTGGGACCGTGGGAAAAAATTCATGTATAGTGTGTACTCTTTGTTCGTTGACGTATGCACCAGTTGTGATATTGCATTCAACTCGCGGTGAATTGACCTTGAGAATTGTCACTGGTAAATCGGACACATGAGTCACATGAGGTTTAAGAATTTTAGGTGCAAAGCCCAATAAACGACCAATTGAATCTTCTTTAGTAAAATCTATCGAATGGCTGCACTTGATAATACTTTTCAAAGTATTATTGTTAGGCTTAAGGGCGATCGATATGTGGTATTCCGAAAGTTTTTCCGTTAAATAATTTTCAATATCATCAATTTCATAGCTCCCTGTAGGTATCTCGATGACTTTATCACTAACATAAAATGTATTGTTTCCAATGTCTATGTTGGGGATAGAATTGAAGGTTAGTAGCTCAGCAAGTCCTAGGGTATAACTCTTCAAAGGTGATAATTCAATTGGAGGAAAATAATAAGCCTCCAATACTGAAGAGGTGCCCGATAATGTTAAGGTGAAAGATTCACTCATCGTTGCTTATATTCAACTGATCTCTATGGAGTGATGTATTTGAATTTTATATCAATTCCCCATCGAGAAATTTCAGACACAAATGTCCACATATCACTGTGTCATACTGTTGATATCGTTCATGGTTATACTGTACAATGCTACCAACACCAAAATAATTCATCAAATCTTGAGGCGGTCGCAGATTGCCAAAGCTATCGAAATAAAGTATTTTATTTTTTTGCTTTTTATATGCAACCCAGTGAGTACCCGGTCCGTCTTTATCGTCAGGATTTACAATAGCCGATTCATGTTTGC